CCAAAATATCTTACAGATCTCTATTAGTAATCGATGAAGAAAGAAGAAACGAAAATAGAGACAAATTTAATTCATAACAATGTTGATGATGTTGACCAAGGTCTCGTTAACAATGGCTTAACAAGTTTAGATATTGCCGATATCTTTGTCAAACATCCTGACGGTGGTGTGAAAATTAATTTAGAGATGAAAATGTCCAATACGTCAAACACCCTCATATTAATTTTGTGATCTTTTAGCCATAATAGTAATGATACTATTTAATTGACATTTTCTATCTAATGTTTCAAAGAAAATAAGATCTAAATTTGTTAATAGCAAAAGTGCGCTTGGCACATAGTGTAATTCATATTACCTCTCTGGATATTGTAGATTCTATTAATTGCCCTGAATGTGATGCTAGTCAATAATAAACACGAAATTAGTTAAATGTTCCAGTAGAGCATATGGCGTTGAATTATTTTGTAAAGATAGATGAAAACTTCTGTAGACTATAATTACTCCGAAGAGTGAAAACAAATCAATGTTTTTGAAGAGCAAATATAATGTATTCATCATTGCCTTTGGAAGAGCAACAGTAAACAAACTTCACTCCTAAAAGAGCAAGAGAATGTTAGAAGGAGAAAGTGCTTGAGATACATGATATTCTTCAAAGTATCAAGGAAGGATATAAATTGCTCTACTGACTAAGTTATTTCAAATTTGAAAATTCATTGTTGTATCTAGCAAAGTAGCGACACATTTTGCTCTGGAGAGAGCATGTATGATTATGTTAAGAGAAAATGCACTGTAGTGCAGTGCAAGGTCTCGAAGACTTTGTTTCTCCAATTTGTATATTACAAATATCATGGATATTGAAATTTACAAAAGATAAACCAGAATTTACTAGACAATAGTGATGATTTTGCCATTTGACATGATCCATTGCACCATTTCGTTCTTATTATTATGCATAAAATGTTAAACTATTAATATATTTATAGTTGGTAGAACCAGAAATTTCTCCAATACAATGAATTATAGCCTACATCTTTATTTGTGTGGTAAAACGACTACAACACTGGCACGAATGAAATTCGTTGAATATCTCCATCATATTTAATTTATACATGGTAACATATGTGGGTCTATTCACCTACGTCATCGACGATTTGATATATTATAATCACAACCTGAACTTTGTGAAAATTCCTTTTAGAGATATTTTTATATTCTAGTCTCGTGATAATAGTTTTCCAATACCAGTAGGGATTTTATATCCTCCTATTGTAATAAATATCTTATGGGACAAAAGTTGAGCATCTAGTACATAACGTGTACAAGTAAAATGATCCAATAGAATCGTTTATTAAACATGTTCAAGTAATTGAAATCCATTGCTTAGGAGAAGCAAATATATCCTATACAATTAAGGATGTGTTGTAATACAAAAGGCATAAACTATATGCATAAGATCAAATGGTTCATTTTAAATTTTCTTCTAAAGTTTGGTTCTGGTCAGAAACCATACGTATCCATCTTCAAAGATTACATGTGGAATGTATATTATAATTATTTCACCACAATGTACACAATGATGGAACCACCAGAAGAGGTTACAAATATATGTTGAATATTGAATCTCTAATGTTTGAGATTATTGATGTTGGATTAACTACTCGATGGACTAATCGTATTAGTTTCACGAGTTAGTTATTCCGAAAGGGAGATTTATTAACTACTCGATTGGTTAATTGCTATTTTAGCGAGTTAGTTATCCTAACATCAGGAGGGAGAAGTTAATGTCGACATGAAAATTGCTTATGCTGCAGCAGCAAAATAAATGAAAATAAGGATCATGAAATGAAAGTCTGTTGTCGATGTAGACATTAAACTTATTGGCCACAACAAATGAAAAGACGCAATACACACTTGACAATGTGTACTTAGAATTGAAATTGCTTGCGAACTAGAAGTTTGACAAGTGATATACCGGCTAGATTTTGGCGGGTGATTGTGCAAAAGATTATCGAGCAACCTCTTTGTTGCACAAGTTTTTCCAAATTCTGGTTTATCTTGTGGTGGATGAAAAGGAAAATCTTCCGTTATTTGCTAATCTGGTAGCAAATGAAGATAAGAAATGCGTCTCTTGAAATAGCGATCACTTAATACGTGATACTTGATATTTAATAATGACGTCTATATAAAACCCCTGAAGGATTAAAAAAAAAAGGGGACATGATTCCCAATTCTTGAGAAATTAATTCAAAAGACTTGTGCAAGTTATAGTGTCTTCTTGTTTTTAGATATTTAGGTTCATATTTTTGAATATAATAGATATGTTATGTTTGTTTTTATCTAGATATGTTATGTTTGTTTGTAACATGATTTTCTATCTATTTTTATGATCATATTTGAATGATAGGATGATAACTAATACTAGAGTGATCAGGATGCTGAGAGCATGCGACATTGCTTCTATAGTTGTGGTTTTGTGACATCACTTTGGGCGCACTTCTCTATAATCATGAATGTGGATATAAGGGGTATCTCAAGTCTCCTTAGCATGCTTAAGAAGTGGTGGAGTAAAGGTTCCTTTGGTGCAGCAAAAGGAATCTTGTACAAGATTTTGCAAATATTCATTATTTGGGAGGTTTGGAAGGCGCTGAATAAGTTTTTGTTTTTTAAGATATGACGCCAAATTTGAATACTGTAATTCACTCCATATCATCTAGTGTGCGGGACTTATTGATAGCACATGATCTTAAGGTTAGTAATGAGGTTGAAGGTGTCTTCATTTCTATATATTTTGGATTGCATTCATCTCGATTGCCAAGAAGGAAGTCGCGGATTAAAAAGTGGATGCCGCCGGGTCCAAACTCTTTTGTCCTTAAGTGTGATGGATCTTCGAATCTTGATGGGGCTGGTTACAGTTTTGTTATAAGGGGAGAAGGGGGTGTTTTTGTGTATGGTGAGTGTGGTTATCTTGGAGATGTAGATAGCTTCACATATGAGGTTTGTGGAATCTTATTTGGGTTGCGCAAATGTGAGCTTCGTTAGGTCTCTAATGTGGTAGTCCAAACGGATAACAAGGTTCTTGCAGATGCTTTGAAGAGGCAAATAGAATTTCCATGGAAACATTTTCTAAAGCTGGTTGAGATGAGCAACATTTTAGAAAGAAGAAGGTACTCTATTACTCATATTTTCAGGGAAGGAAATGCGGTTGCTGATTTTCTGGCAAAAATGGGGGCAATGGGGGAATTCAAGCTCTTTGATTTCTTTACTTCTCTTCTTAGTTTTGTAAAGGGATTGTTGGTGTTAGACCAAATGTCCTTCCCTTATTTACGTAAATGAGTATAGGAGACTCTTTCTTTATTTAACTTTGATTGGGGTTAGACTACTCTGCCCATTGTACCAATTTATTTAAGTGCAATAAATTCAGGGAGGGGCGGAACTAGAGAACTAGGTAGTATATATGTTCATCCCTTGGGTATACCCCTTGGGTGCATTGGGCTATCTAGTACTGGCTAACTTAAAAATTTACCTCTTGTGTATACCTCTTGAGTTTTTTTGAGTTAGTTGGAATCTGAGAGCTGTCCTAACCTTTTTTCTGTTTAAAAAAAAAAATCACATATGTCTAGTAGGACAAAAGAGAAAATTTAAGGATTAAGGTTATCTTTTCTTGATACAATGTAGGAGGCTAAACCTAAAATACTAAATTACTAAATTTTATATGCATATTTGGTTGACAGAAGAAAAAAAAAAACTAATACTAGAGTGACTCATTCATAAGCCATATGTGCATTTACAATTTTGTTAGCACCAAACTGTTATAGAGTTTCAAAAGGCTGAATATTATTGAAACTTATCACGAAATTCGAATAGCCTGAATATAATAAAACTCCTGAAGAGTTATATTATAGTTATGAACACTTCTAAGGAAGTTCAAAAGGTTACTACTTGTCCGAAGTAAGGATAATGAAAGATCTTGAATAGAATCTCGGTCTAAATAGTTTGACATTTGTATATTCAATACCCGTATAGTGCACTTGATTAAAATCTTGATGTGCATATGGATCATTCTTCTTGACTTTCTATTAATGATGTAGATCGATTTGGTCTTGAAGTACCATATAAAGTTTCGGTTTATCTAATCAATTAGTCAAGACTTGGAAGTGGTATATTGATAGCTTCAAGGTATGATGGTCATGCATCACCATTATTATAAAACACTCAAGATTATACGGGTATATGAAGACAACCGTCTAAATGAGAAGTCGAAGTAATCTGTCTATTATTGACTTAAATAATCATGAACATGGCCAATAGTTTGGCATGCAACGAGAAGATTACAAGTGGCGTACTTAACTGGGGGAGTAACCCACGCTGTACTCTTTTTCCCTTGATCGAGGTTTTGTCCCAATGGGTTTTCCTGACAACGTTTTTAACGAAGCAGCGTCACATTGGGAAGTTTCTTTTTTCCTTCACTAGGGTTTTATCCCAAAGGGTTTTTCCTAGTAAGGTTTTAACGAGAGATTATTCTGCAAAGATGGACATTTAAAGGGGGAGTGTTATGAAATATTTGATTTGATTTGATTGAATGTCCACAATTAATATGTATTATTCTATTCACAATCAAGGAGATATTAACATGTAATATTTAGCAGTAATGATAGATGATTCATTTTGCACTGTTTGATACCCTACTTCTTGTATAAATAAGGAACTCATTCATGCTTCAAAATACATCTGAATACAATTCTCTTATCTCTCTCTACTCTCTTGTCTCTCCTCTTTGTTCTTATGCTTAGTTTCATATTAGTAGTGTAGCATTAATTTATAACAATTATTATTATTATTATTATTATTATTATTATTTTATTTGTTTTGAAAAAGAACATAATCGCAATTAGTTTGTGAAGACATCAAGAAATAATTTGCATTGAACTGAAGGCAAATAACTGTAGAATGTACTTGCACAAATAGACAATATAAATCTTTCAACAACTGCATTGATTATTTTACACCAACAAGATACCAATGGTGGAAATTGGAAAGTAGCTAAAACCGGGAAGATGCCAGAATCCGAATGCCATTTTCTCTAGAGCCATAACCATTTGCTACTGTATCGATTGACCATATACAAGTACTAACAGTTACTTGTAGATCACTAAATTTAGCAAATTATTTTAATCTCCATCCTCAGTTAGAAACTTTGCATCAGCAAATTACCTCATAGACAGTGAAAGAGACTTTAACAGGGCCATTTGTGTAAACTTCAGCCATGATATCACTTGGATTAGAACTTATTCTATAGGCTTTGAGGCCATAATGCTTTGAATTTCCCCATAGCAAGTTCTCCTTTACGCACTTCTGGATGCACTTGGGGGGGGGGGGGTTATGCGGGTTCACAACCTGGGTGGGAACACCCACTATTGTCAAAGTAAGGGTCTCACTGCAAAGACAAGTTCAATGTTTAGCTCAAACTCACTAGATCAAAAGTCCATCAAGAGGAATACAATCTACCTCATCAGTCACAACACCATGTTGTACAAAGTATTTCCAAGCAGCAATGGGATAACCACCATCACAGCCATCACCACACAAAAGTCCACAGCATGCAAGGAGATCATTGACTGAGAGCGAAACATTCTGCAAATGAAGACTAATGACTTCCTCTAGATATATGCATATTTCCAAAAAACAAGAAGTGTTACTTTGCTGGGGAGGAACATATGACGTTCAATTGGATGCAGAAATGATCTTGGAGAGATTCAACTGCTCCAAAAGCCCAACAAGAACCACAATGCCCCTGATAAATTAAAAAGTAAATTACTTTAGAATTGAGATAAATCTATTTCTAAATCTATGAAAGTGATTAACAATTGCTAATTCATGTCACCTGATCTTTGGAATGTGGAGTCATTTTAAAAAGTTGCATTCACAAAAGCAAATAATGGCAGTTAGCACACTTTCAGTATAGTTGTATGCAAAAAAGAAAAAAGATCAGGCATGAAAATAAGTCATGTCTAACCAAGAATTCTTCCAATGGTAGCACACTGAGGCCAAGCAATTCGTGCATCAAAATGGCTAGGCAAATTCAGATGTTGAGGATGACTTAAAACCGGAATGCTTTCCAGAATATCCTTTGGTGTTGGCTTTACTCCAAGAAGATGCTTAAATTGGCCAACCTATCCCAAAAAGAAAAAAAAAACAAACAGGTTCACTTTTTGTACACGTGAAAATGGTATTTTGATGTGGTCAGTGTCCTATATCTTTCTTTTGTATTAGGCAAATCAGGCAAAAACTAAATGGGCAGATTGAATACTTACTGTAAACTTTGAAAATCGAGGATTCATACCAGCTTTCCATCCAGCTGTGGCATTACCATTTACTCTTTCAACAATCAATTTCTGAATATTCATTTCACAAGAAGATCCAAATCAATTACAACCAGTTAAACCCTGTTACAAAATGTGTAAAGGAGGTAGATGTTCCAAGAGCAGGAATACCTGAAGTATCTTATCACCATGTTTAAGTTGCAGGGTTGATGCTCCTGCTTTGACCTGCTCACAAGAGGGAGCTCATAAGTCACAAGGAAAGAAGACAATTACAATGATTCTTCATGCATCTATGAAACAGTCAATCTAGAGAAAAAGTGTATTTTCATGTTATAGGCTCTGAAAAGCTAAAATATTTCCTAAGAAACTTTTCCGGGCCTATTTCTCAAAGTTAGATGCATAGCTCGTTCAGCCTTAAGGTAGTAGGCTTTAGGCTTGTGGATCAAATCTGACACAAAAATAACTCTGCTTTAAGATTCTAATTTTGTTCTACAAGAGAGATAATGAATGAGGCTTGCTGACTGTGGAAGGATAAATTGACAGGACTTTCTTCATCAGAAGCCCCTTTCAAGATCAATAATCCACCCTGGAGGAAGAGAAAGATCTGGGAGGAAGAACTCAGTAACATAAGTCAACAACCAAGTGTTCGACAAATCTTCCTATCAATTACTCTCTTACTCATATTCCTTGTAACTGCAGATTTCTCATTCTTCCTCATTTGTGGGAGGTCCAAATAATCATAGACATAGATACTATGGAAAAAAAAAATAGAAGCAAGTCCTCAAGTAAGGGATTATCCAACAAAAATTGCGAGTTGCGCTCTTTGCTGTATCCGGAGAGAATACAAGTCAAACAAGACCATTCATTAAATGAGATATTGTGCAAGTCTACACTGACTCGACAATAATGCAAGTTTTCAAATTGTTTCATTGAAGAAAGTAGCCGAGAAATAGAAGAAAACCAATCAAAAAGATATTCCACCAACCTGCAGCTGAAAAATTAGCATCACACTAAACAACAGCAGAACAGTTACGCAAATCCTAGCCATGGTTATCTTCCAACTTGTGTTGGCACACAAGAGATGAGAATTTTCCTCAATCCAGGCTTTAAAAGTTTAAAAGCAACCTAGTTACTGGTTCAATATTCAACCAATCCCGCTTCACACTGGTTCTGAAATCAACAACAACACCGTAAAGGCGTAAAGCCAAAATATACCAAAAGAAGCTCTAGTTGTTATCTACTTAACAAGGATGCAAAAGTACTCAAATGCAACCACAAGAAGCTGATAACCTAGTTCGCAATCAATGAACTACAAAGGAACGCAGAATTAATTGGAAAAGCATACAAAATTTTAACCTTTTGGAGAGTACAATTAAGTCCAAACAGAAAAAAGTATAAAATAACAACCTCAACTGACCTTTCATGAGAATATGCAACACTTTCTATTGAGTTCACGTCATTTCGTAGAAATCCAAAAAAATTCTAAACACATCTCAACACATGTGGGCCTATATTTGGGCCTTCAAGATGGTATCAAAGCGGGTTTATCCACGGACCTCTGTCACTTGTGGGACGGGCTTTTACTGACCCGACAGTTATATCCGGGGTCTGATTTACTTACCTGTTTGGGCCTTCTACTTCTATTTACCTAAATCTGGGCCTTCTATTTCTACTTCTTCTACTTACTCAAATCTGGGCCTTCTATTTCTATTTCTTCTACTTACCTAGTTATATCTGGGCCTTTACTGATCCGGCAGTTTATCCGGTTTGTCCAACCCCTTCGGACTTGAGAGGGGAGTGTTGAGAATATTGTATTGAGATATGTCCAAGTTTCCTTGTCCCACATGGATGGATGAAGAGTCTTATAACCAATATATAACCACATGTGCTACTCCCTTTATCACCAATTGGTTTTAAGGTGGAACCATATGTGGGCTTATATTTGGGCCTTCAAGAAGATGAAATCTTTTGGATTAGTTTTAAGTTAGTTTTACTCATCAAATATCCAACTTCACAGCTTGGAACTTACATGTTTATTCTGAACACAATATAGTGAAACTGAACTCAATCTTCAATTTACGACAGAGTAGCTACTAAACCACAAATAGCCCAACAAGAACACCATCAATAATAATTTACGAAAGAAATCATAAACTCCTCCGTACTTATGCATGATATAAGTAATAAACAATCCACAGAGAGCCGATTCTCTCAAAACAGATAAAAATCGAATCAATTAACATAAAATGTATCTTAACATCTAAGATTAAGGAGACTTACCCGCCCATAATGAGATAATGAAAGTCTCTCTGAACTGGGACCAAGGGCTTGATCTTGAACATGACAAAGTCGAAAGTTAGGTCCCTTTTTAAAGATTTTTTTTTTTAGGAGTGAAGAAAGAGATATGGGGCTGACGATAACAATAATTGACTTTTATTCGATGGTGTGTCTCCATCACCCAACTTGTCCCTCGAAAGAGACGAACTGGAGAAGTAAATGGTAATGGACAAGTAGCTGCAGTTCTGTTTGTAATTGGACATTCTTCCATATCTATTTTTTCTTTTTAGTTCCTCAATTTGCTACCCAATCAGTTTCTCTCTGGTAATGTGGCCTGAAATGCAACAGTAGTCCACAAAGTCTATTTGAGGACTTCAGGTATCAGAACTAAGTATCCCAACACCAAAAGGAAAAAAAGCAATTGTATACACTCCTGAGTGAAAACCATTCATCCTCACCCACCTAGTGTTACATTAGTACACAATTTTATACATTAACATAGTATCAATCTGCTAGTTGCATGCTTCCCTTCAAACACCCCCAAATGTACTACATTCCAATATGCTGACACATCTGCAAATAGCCATGTACTACAATACGGTATGTGTAATACGATGACTGAAAGCTATATTCGCCTAACATGTTTTCTACGACATGCAACTCTTGAACATTTTCAATTACCATGAATGAAGTTTAACAACCATGAGACACGATGAAAAACGAGCTAATGACAGACTGATTTTTTCAGTCATAGGAAGATGCAAATTTATGGGGAAGAACTCGGCGCCAAAGTAATAAGAGTGATATTATTAGCAAAATATAAGCATGTGCGTAATAAATGACATAAATAGAAAATTCTGCTCTACATTTTTTCCCCCTCTGATTTTGTACTTTCTCTTTTCCCTCTAATTCTTCTCTGGAAATGCTAATAAATGTTTAAACCAATTTGATGATTGATCCATGAATCGCCTATCCACATAATGCAACTACTAGTGCACAGAGTATACCACCAAACCACCTGCTCAATCTACAAAACGAGGAAAAGAGGAAAAGCAAATGCAGCAATCCCTTGAAATATCTATCTCCCAACCATATTGATGATTCTCAAACTCGAGCTGAATTCCTCGGCAGGATAGAGAGTAAAATCAGCCATGGTTTTAGGTTTCTATTGCCCTCAAAGATTGCCCTGAGTTCAAAATTTGATAAATAACACCGCAAAGAACTAATTGTGCAGGCAGTTAACTTCCATTAGCTTTGGCCTCAGGGCGAACGTACGTCAGACTCCGGGGAATGGACACTGGGGGCTGTGATACTCGTCTTAAAAGTAGAGAGGGTTGAGTTTCACGCTTCTGGTAACTCCTTGCACCAGGTTTTACTGGAAAACGAAACAGATATACACCAGTAGCACCTCTCGGAAAAGGAGGGCTCGCATATCTAGAAATACAATAGGGAGATGAATGAACAACACGGGGCCAAGGAGTGAGAGAAGTTGCTTCCACCTGTTTAGCTATTTTACGTACTACCTGCATTAGGAACAATCATGCAATCGATGAACAAAAACTACCAAAACCATCCAGCTATACATAAACAACAACTAGGGGATTATACCACCATTAGGCCTCAGATTAACAAATCATATGTTGCAATCGAGCTCTATCAAACACATTATCATAAAGAAGCCTTCAGAATTAATACAAACAGCTTCTTTTCCAGCATCATATTGATATAGTTTGATACTTCTAACTTTCATTAGTTATATTTCCCCAAAACCTTACCCAAATTTTATCAATCTCACATGGGGTCAAACACAAAGTATTGACATCAGATTCCACTACAAAAGAGAACCAAAAAAGAAACTCCATTTACTAGTAATACAAATGAGGCACAAAATGGAAACATTATTGGCACGATAGCTAGCAAACAAAGATCATTCATGAAAATTCCTAAAGCAGACACAAGATGAGTTAAGGTGACAAGTTTTCCATGGAAAACTCAATTGAGTATAAACCAGGATGATAAAAAAAAAATTTGAGAGGAACACTTGACTTTTACCGAATTATAAATTTAAACAGCAATACTTATTTTTCTTTTTTTTTTTCTTTCTGATGACAATTATGACAGAACATTAAAAGTGGACAGCTCATTTAATGTTACCACTTAACATTAAGGGAAAATAGAAATTACCAGGAGAGTGAAACTGATTCTTGTGGGACTCTTCCTGCAGATTTCAGATACTTCATATAACACGAATGCAAGAAATAGGTCAAACGAATCCACAGATTGAAAGGGATCAGTACAACCATTTGCACAGATAATCTTACATTGCTCTTGGCAACTAGAACAGGGTTACTGCAACTTACCCTCAACTCCTTACACAGATCCGGAGTCTTTTAGCTGTTTAGCATTGCTGGCCATACCATGTTGGACCAATGGCAAGCTTTCACCTCTATCTCCACCAGATGTTCCAGCACGAGCCACACTCATTACTCCTCTGTTTCTTGCATTCACTTCAAGATCATTGTCAACTAATGCTGGTTCAATATACAACCTCGTCTCCCTTTGTAGATCAGATCTATCAGATATAACGGTCGTTATAATTATGTCTCTGATAGTAATTTATTTCTTCTTGCTTGTCAGTATTATTACACGTTTTAAACTCTGCATCTTCACCAGCATCATCTCCAAGTTCCGACAACTGATTCATGTTTTTTGAAAATTCACGACGATAACCATGTCTGTTAAACACATTAGTCGATGACTTAGTTCTCTGAACATCTTCTGCAGCCTCTGCTCTCATTGCTGCTGACGCACCATTTGGCACTTTTGCAAGAGGCCAATTTCTGTGTATGTACTTAGGGGTTCACATCCTCTGCTGATGTTGACACTACATATTGAAGCCGCTTTAATGAAGGGTCTGATGTTAAGTTTGAAGGCTTTGAAGTGCCAACTGCATCTCGCACTGCAAACTGCAGCAGTCTTTGTGGTGCAGCAATGGTTGCTTGGGACACTCCCTCCCTTTGGATAACAAAATGGAAAAATGTACGGAAAAAATGCACTTTCAGCTTGCACATATTAAGAGAAACACCTCAACTGAAATACACATATCGTCACAGCATGTGCACACTTACTAGACGAAAACAATTGATTTCCTTAGAATAAACTGAAATTTTCTTATACATGCAATAAAAGCCACAGTTAAAAACTTTAGTATCTCCCCGAGGTAACTGAAAACCAAGAAGGTTTACACTACAGACAACAGCTTATCCTCCAACCAAATTCTCATCTGGATTGATTGTGAAAATTGAACCCAGTTTATGAACTGAACAAATTTTCCAACCGAAAGATTGAATTGAAGAAATATAAAATGCATGCCTAGTCATAAATAACAGCAAATACATATAGTCTATTCATGACAAGAACATATGCAGTTCATAGCTTCCTTCAGATACGATTAAAGATACTTTTTCAATCTCAAGCCCACTACCAATGGCACTAAAATGACAAACAGAACAAACTTAGGAGTGGCAGTTTTGGCGAAAAGGACGAGATATAAACCAATAGCAACAGGACTATATATTTGACTCCCTTATAAGATGTTTAAAAAATCCAAGAAAGCCAGCATGATAGAGGAATCTTCATGAGTAGAATGGAGTGATCCAATATAAAACGCCTAAACCCAAACAGAAAACCATGTAGGACTGCCATCTTTTGTTACTGCTTACAACTAAAATCATATAGATCAGAAACAAGAGTCTGGTACTTATTTATCAT